CTCCTCGTTCATCGCCTGCTGATCCTCACCCATTGTGCTTGGTCCGAGGAGTTCCTTGCGGTCCATCTTGGGCCTGACTGCGCTGCTGTCCTGGAGCCCTTGGCTCGTGCTCCCTCTCGCAGTATTGTTGACAGATTCACCTTCCTGTCTTTTACAGTCACAACAAACTTGGGGTGATTATTGATGACTTGCTTTCCTTGTCTTAGTTCACCTCAAGTTGCCCTTTCTCATATAACCTCTTTTTAGACTCTGAGTTTTGTATGTTTGTTTGATATTTGTTTTTTGAACATGGCTGTTTTTATTTGTTTTTAAGTTTTATTTTTAAGATATTTATTTTTTTGAGAGGCAGAGTTAGAGATAGAGAGGGAAAGACAGAGAGAAAGGTCCTCCAGTCCACCTGTTCACTCCCTAAGTGGCTGCAACAGCTGGAGCTGGGTTGATCTGAAGCCAGGAGCTTCCTCTGGGACTCCCACATGGGTGCAGGGACCCAGTACTTGGGCCATCTTCTGCTTTCCGAGGCCTGGGTCAGAAGAGGAGCAGCCAGGAATAGAACCGGCACCCATGTGGCATGCTGGTGCAGGAGACTTAGCCCGCTACGCCACAGCACCGGCCCCTGTTTTATTTCTTAATTCAGTAGAGCTTTGTGCACTTGGTGGGGACAGGCGCAGGATGGGGTGACAGGTGTGAGTGACTTGGTTCCTGCTCTCTGCTGGCTTGTAGAACTCTGGGGGCCTTAGAACACGGAATAACCCTGGAGCCCAGTGGACGGTGCCAGGTCGGTGTGAAGTTACTGTCTATGAGGTAGGCAGTGCAGTGAGTGGTAGTTTAGGAGCCCATGGCAGTGGGGATCTGTGTGCTGCAGTCCCTGTGGTGTGGTCTGTAAATTTCAGTGGCCAAAATGGTAAGGAGATTCCAGTATATTCAGAGTTGTCCACTGCAGGCATGGGGCGCTCAGGCGTCAGCTCAGTTCTCCAGGTCTCCTGTGTGTGTTGCTCGTGTTCGATGACAGGAACACAGAAAGCAGCGCTGGGAAGAGTTTGAGGTGTCAGAATGTGAGACTCGAAGAAGAGGCTTCCCAGAACCGGTGCCCGTGCCTGAGCGGGAGCAGTGAGCTGCTTATGGCCGTGCGCACCCGAGAGAGGCCAGAGACAGCAGCCAGCGCCAGGCAGCTCTGGGAGGGGCAGCAAGCACGCGAGAGCGGCTCTTCCTCCGCTTTCCTTCCGTCCTTGTTGTGCTGCCGGAGCTGGGCCCTGACAGGAAGCCAGCTCCTAAGGGAGGAAGTTGTGTGTGGAGCCCAGCCTCAGCGTCGCAGGGAAAGTGTGGAGCTGAGAGGCAGTAGCGGGAGCGGCGCACTGAGCCTTCCATTTGTTTGTCTGGAGCGGGGAGGGGTTTTCACTTGCTGGTTCACTCCTTGAATGCCTGCAGTAGTCAGGGCTGAGGCAGGCTGACGCCAGGAGCCAGGGACTCCATCTGGGTCTGTCACATAGGTGACGGGGACCCAAGTACTTGGGCCATCGTCCACTGCCTCCCAGGAGGGTGCACTAGCAGGAAGCAAGATTGAGAGAAAAGGCAGGACTGCATCCCAGGGACCTTATAGGTCATGCCAGCGTTCCACACGGCTGCTGGCTGCTTCACCCCTGCACCACAGTGCCTGCCCAGAGACGCCGAATGCTTTGAGTGAAACCCTCGAAGCCCTGGTCTCTGCTTCTGTGGACTTTGCTGGCTGGTTGTTACTGTCGCTGACAGGAAGGCGTGCGCTGAGAGGCGTGAATGGAGCAGCCCAGCCGACTCTGAAAGGGCTTTGCAGGCCCAAGGTCTCAGTGTCCAATACGTGACGTGGCCTTTTAGCACAGACATGCTCAAGTGGTACGGAAGCAGATCAGCGTGTCTGTCTCAGCAAAACTATTCAGAGCGGGAGGCAGTGGAGCTGGCCTGGGTAGGGCAGTTCATTCTGGTGCAAAAAGGTATTTTGAAATCCATGTGTATAGTTTTCTCATCATATGCTTTTTCCATGAACTTTTTTATGAACTCTCATGTATAGATTTTTCAGAGGTTTTTTTTTTTTTCCCTGAAAGGCAGAGGTAGAGGGAGAGAGAGAGGTCTTCTGTCTGCTGGTTCACTCCCTAAATGGCCACAATGGCTGGAGCTAGGCTAGACTGCAGCCAGGAGCCAGGAGCCTCTTCTGGGTCTCCCACATGGGCGCAGGGGACCCAAGTACTTTAGCCATTTTCCACTACTTTCCCAGGTGCGTCAGCAGGGAGCTGGATCAGAAGTGGAGCGAGGGATGCCTGTGTTGCAGGAGGCAGTGTGACCCACTGTGCCACAGTGCTGGCCCTGACGACATGCATAGATTTCAAAAATGTGTTTTTTTTTTTTTTCCAAAATTTCTTTTTTTTTTCTTTTCTTTCTTTCTTTCTTTCTTTTTTTTTTTTTTTTTTTTTTTTTTTTTTTTGGACAGGCAGAGTGGACAGTGAGAGAGAGAGACAGAGAGAAAGGTCTTCCTTTTGCCGTTGGTTCACCCTCCAATGGCCGCCGCTGCAGCCGGCGCACCGCGCTGATCCGATGGCAGGAGCCAGGATCCAGGTGCTTCCCCTGGTCTCCCATGGGGTGCAGGGCCCAAGCACCTGGGCCATCCTCCACTGCACTCCCTGGCCATAGCAGAGAGCTGCCCTGGAAGAGGGGCAACCGGGACAGAATCTGGCGCCCCGACCGGGACTAGAACCCGGTGTGCCGGCGCCGCAAGGTGGAGGATTAGCCTAGTGAGCCACGGCGCCGGCCTCAAAAATGTTTTACACCAAAATAAACTTTTACATTTTTTAAAGATTTATTTATTTGAAAGGCAGAATTACAGAGAGGCAGAGAGAGAGGAATCTTCCATCTGTTGGTCACTCCCCAGATGGCTGCAACGTCCAGAGCTGAGCTGATCTGAAGTCGGGAGCCAGGAGCTTCCTCTGGGTCTTCCATGTGTGGGTGCAGGGGCCCAAGCACTTGGACCATCCTCTACTGCTTTCCCAGGCCATAGCAGAGAGCTGGATCAGAAGTGGAGCAGCGGGCCTGGAACCGGCGCCCACATGGGATGCCGGCACTGCAGGCGGCGGCTCTGCCTGCTACACCACAGTGCTGGCCCGCAGAATAAGCTTGTCTTGCTGATGCTGATTGATGCCCACAACGTTCAGGGGCTCCGCCTCATCCACGTGGCGTGAAGTCTGTGTGGACTCATACCTGCTGTCCGGGGTGGCCGTCTTCACAGCAGGTTGGAGTAACCATGCAGTGCTCTCCCCTTGCCTGCATGCTTTGATGGCCCGTGTTCTTTTTTTTTTTTTACAGGCAGAGTGGACAGTGTGAGAGAGAGAGAGAAAGGCTCTTCCTTTGCCGTTGGTTCACCTTCCAATGGCCGCCGCGGCTGGCGCGCTGCGGCCTGCACACCGCACTGATCCAATGGCAGGAGCCAGGTGCTTCTCCTGGTCTCCCATGGGGTGCAGGGCCCAAGCACTTGGGCCATCCTCCACTGCACTCCCTGGCCACAGCAGAGGGCTGGCCTGGAAGAGGGGCAACCGGGACAGAATCTGGCGCCCCGACCGGGACTATAACCTGGTGTGCCGGTGCCGCAAGGCGGAGGATTAGCCTAGTGAGCCGCGGCGCCAGCCAATGGCCCGTGTTCTTCTGACCTGTTGTCCTTTCCCATTCCCAGTGCAGCTGTGCCCTCTCATCCACATCTCTGGCGTTGCATGCAAGCTTAGGATTTGAATCACGTCCTGTCACCACTGTTGGCATACACTGTCGTTCTCCTCCGTGCTGAGCAGTGTACCTTGGTTGTGTGCCATGAGCTGTCACTAAGCACTTTAGCAGATGACGAAATGGACTTTAACCCAGGCTCTGGCCAGCTTTGTAGTGTCTCTTAACCCAAGCTGTTGATGGTGTGTCAGCCACTCTTCCTCCCTCGTCATAATATTGATTTTTTTTGAGGGCGTTGTGGGAAGACTGCATCTTCTCTCTGCTGCACAGCCCCTTTCCATACCAGTATTTGTCCTCAGGAAGACTGGAGCACAGGAGGTTCTATTTGCATGGGAATTGATCTTGCGATGTCGGTTGGCAAGCTCTGTCTACTCACTCTAGCCTTGGGGTGGGGAGGGGTTGAGCAGTAAGGCTGGTGTGTGTGTGATGCATCTTGTGATTGCGTGACTGCTGCTTGCCTGTCTGAGCGACGCAGGAGGCCAGCCAGTGGAGAAGGAATGCCTTCATGGGCGTAGACACAGCGGAGGCTCGTGCGCACAGGGCTACTCTCAGGGTAGCCAGGTGCCATCAGAGCATGCATTTGGTTCAGGATTCTCTAGGAATGGTTGGCGTGGAGAATTCTCTGGGTACTTCTGCCATGGCTGCGGCAGTGGTTGTTGTCTGAGATGTGGTCGCCAGACACGGAGTGGGGCTGGGTGCCCGTGTTCACTGTGTCTGGATGTGGTCGCCACAGGGTTGGCTCAGTGCGGCCTGTGCCATTGTGTGCTGCTCAGAAACTGCTTACCTGGAAGAGAGACGACATGGGCCAGAGGGTCTGGACAGGGTTCTGCATCAGAATGCCGGTGTAGAGTTGTACACGTACGCTCGGGTCAGGGTCTGAAATCTCTGGTCTGAGCCAGAGATTCCTTCTTGCTGGGGTCAAGCCTGAGATCAGATTACCCTCATCCGTTTACGGGGAGGTCACTGTGGATTGAAGCCCAGAGGCAGAGGGTTCGGCCACCAAGTAGACTCGCCCTGTGGGCCCTGGCGCTGGGGTTTTGGGCCTTTATCCAGGGGCCTCTTTCTTGTAAGCAGCTGACAGACCTTCCGACTGGGAGTGCCTGCCCGTGAGGAGACTGCTCCGTGCATGCCCCTGCCCTTCCACGCTTCATGCTAACCGCCACTGCCAGCGTCCTCGTGGAGGCAGAGCCCATGGGGACTTCCTGGATTTCCTGGCTGACCACCTGCCCCACTGGGCGCTGACCACGGTCACTGTTTCCCTCCAGGGTCGTCCAGCAGCCGGCACCCAAACCAGGCAACTCCAAAGAAAAGCGGTTTAAAGAACGGGCAGATGAAGAGTAAAGACGACGAGTGCTTCGGGGACGACATCGAGGAGATCCCGGACACGGATTTTGACTTTGAGGGCAACCTGGCCCTCTTCGACAAGGCGGCCGTCTTCGAGGAGATCGAGACCTACGAGAGGCGCAGCGGCGCCCGTTCCCGGGGCCTCCCCAGCGAGAGGCCTGCACGGTACCGGCACGACGAGAACATCCTGGAGTCGGAGCCCATCGTGTACCGGCGGATCACCGTGCCCCACAGCGGGAGCAAGGAGTTCTACACGGGTGAGTGCGCCAGGCCCGTGCCTGCTGGCCCCCTGCCCTTTGCTCTCCTGCCTGGAACAGAAAGGCCCAGTTTCTGAGGCAAAATCTTGCTCTGGCTGTCAGCCAGCTGGGTGGGTGGCTCAGGGTCATCTGTCCAGGGGCTTGTGGCCAGCCCGGCACTGCTGCGCCGTGGAGGGGCAGCCTCTCCGCCTGTCTGGTGCCGTCCTCTGCTTACTGGGGGAAAGCGCGGGCTGACTGGGTTGAAGCAGGCAGGTCTGTGTTCACTTGGCTTCCCTGTTACTGCCCGATCATCTCACTGACGCTCCACTCTGTTCCTGGCCCTTGCTGGTGTGAAAGAGAGGGCCTTCGTAAAAGACTTTGTTCACTGTGCTGTCTCCTGCCAGCTGTGGCCATTGAGAGGTGTCAGTTCTAGTCTCTGTCCCTGAGAGCTGCGCCTTGGTGGGTAGTGGAGGGCGCCCCGTGTGACGATCACCATGTGTGGCAACCTCGTTGGGTTACCTCACTCATGGAAGTTTCTAGAACTTTTCTTCAGATGTTCACATCTGAAGCAGATGAAGGTAGCCATTAGGGAGGTGTCTGCCTCGTCTCAGCCCGGAACCCTTTTCCCTGAAACACGTTGTGAACTAGACTTCTTGGAGTCTGGGTTACTGAAGGATCCTGGGAGCTGAAGGGGAGGCCGTAGTCATTCTAGTAAGCAGAGAAGGAACTGAGTGTATGTTTGTTTTGGTTTGCTGTTTGGAGTGTAGGAAATAAAATCTTTTCCTATTATTCATTTGAAAGGCAGAGTGAGAGAGAGGGATAAACGGGGGGGGGGGGGGCCTTGTCCATCTGCTGGTTCACTCCTCAAATGGCCCTCGTGCAGCCTGGATCTCCATCATGGTCTGTCACGTGGGTGGCAGGGACCCAAATACTTGGGCCATCCTCCACTACCTTCCCATTAGTAGGTGCACTAGTGGGGAGTTGGATCAGAAGTGGAGCACCTGGGACCTGAACCAGCACTGTGGTGTGGGATGCCGGGGTCGCAGTCAGTGGTTTAACCTGTGGTGCTCTAGAGCCAGCCCCGGGATAAAGTCTGGAATGCTGGTGGCTGTAGCAGGGAGAATTGTACTTGGAGGAAACGCGGGTCTGGCTTTTCTGTAGGCTGCAGTAGAGCGCTCTTGTGCCTGGCTTTGCTGGGTGTGGATGCTTCTGCGTGCCTTCCCCGGGAAGAAACAGGCAGGCTGCGGCCGAGACAGCCCCAGCTGGATCCCCTCCGCCTTCGCGGGCACTCTCGGGGCACACTCTCGTGGGCCTGTCCCCTGACGCGTGTCGTCTCCTTAAGCAGCAGCGCTGCAGCGACTTGATTTTACCCCTGTGTGAAGGCAGGCAGCCTCCCTGCGTCAGGCGTGATTTAAATGGCTGGTTTTCACCTTTCCAAGGCAGTTACCAGCCGTTAGGGCTGGTGCCACTGCCTGATCTGCCGACAGCCTGCTGCTTCGAGTGCCCTCACAAGGAAACCAGCTGCCCCTGCTGCCACTGGGTTGTCCCTGACGTGTCCACGCTGCAGGAGTTCCCGAGCCGCGGGCAGTCACGTCTGTGTGGAGTGCAGTAGCTGGAAGGCTGCGAACAGCAGTGAGGATCGGGAGAGGCTCTCGGTCTGACAGCCTGAGACATGTAGGCACAGAGGTGGAGACGCCCACTGCGCTGCTGCTTCCTGACCCCCACCCGACCCACCCAGCTGCTTTTGGTTTTAGTAACAACTGAGCACTTCTTGTGAGGGAGGCAGTTTTCCTAGCGTTGCCGTCCATTGGCATACTCCCAAGTGCGAGTGCTGGGCCTTGGCCAACCGGTATGGCCGCGTGAGGTATACAGCACGCAGTTGCACTGAGCTGGAGCCGTCCGGTTTCGCCTGCTTCTTAACAGGTCAGGAGTGGAAACAGCCCTTTGCCAGGCAGCCCTGGTGAGCCGCTTCCCCTGCAGCTGGTTTCTGTCTCCGCAGACAGCCCTTGGGCAGTGCGCCGTGTGCCGTGGTGCCGTGGTGGGCAGGGCTCCGGTAGCACAGAGCTGGGTCTGCTGTCCAGATGTGAGGATCGGACAAGGACAAACACCCCAGGCCAGGGAGGGTTGGTGTTCGGTTGCGTGGTCCCCAGGTGGTTTTCTCATTTTACAGACGAGGGCAGAAAGGGAAAGTCTGCCTCAAACCCTCCCCGACCCCGTCTCCCCTTCTCTCTGGACGGTGGCGGCACCAGGGGAGGGAGAAGTGGGGGGAAGGGCAGCTTGGTAGCAGAGTAGCCTACAGTCTCCTGTGTCATGCTGACTTAGGAGGGGACCAGTTTAGGTCAGTGATTCTCGGGGGTGTCTGAATCGCTCCCCAGCGAGCCCTAGTAGCATCCGTGTCCGGGAACACCCAGTGCTTGGTTTGCTGCCCGTTGGTGGTGGCGTGGGCCAAGGTTCCGGCAGCTTGCTCCCCTTCCTGCCAGGTGGGGTCCGCAGTAGGTGGTGCCCGTGTTTTCCCTGCACTGTGTGGGTCAGGGCAGTGCTCATGGCGGAAAATGCGTTCAGGAAGCAGCTGAGTTCAGCCCTTGGTAACCCAGGCCTCCTTCTCTGCAAAGCCCCTTGGAGTCCATGGTAGGGCTGCCGTCCGCAGCAGCCACAGGTGGTCAGATGTTCCTCCAGCTCAAACCTGCCCGCTGCGTCATGGTGACCACCAGTCACCCCGGACTGACCAGGCCTGTCTGGGTCCTGATTGAAGACAGACTGTGCACACGGCTGAGTGTGTTGGGTGTGTGTAAAATGCTGGGTGTGCGTGAGGTCTCCAGAGAGCAGTCTCCACGCAGCGCTCAGAGTATTTGCCACGGGAAGACAGTCTTTGCCCGCAAGTTGTCCAGTGGACTGGGAGGTTGCCGGATGACTTCTGTGCCCAGGGACAAGTGTGCAGTCAGAGCTGGGGAGTGCCTGTGGCGGAGCCCAGCAGGCAGAGGAAGGGGATTCTCCTGGGTGGGCTTGGCAGGAGCCGGTGAGTGGTGTGAACAGAGGGCTCTGTGAGAGCTTGGTCCTAAGCTCGCTGGCCGGGATAGAAAGCAGCTCTGGACCACAGCACGGAGGGCCTTGTGTGCTCATCCTGTGCTTGTCCCACGGCCATGACAAACAGCTGAGGATTTTGGATGGGAAAGTTGGCAGAGCCCAGAGGAAGCAGGTGGTGGAGTTGCCGAGGTGAGGAGCTGTGAAGTCGGGGCTGGGGTGCGCCCAGTGGTGTGGGCGCTCCGTGCTAGTCAGTGAGACAGAATGCCAGCTTGCAGAGTTAGCAGTAAGTATTTGACCTCAGATGTGGACTGCAGGTGAGGTGGCCTTTCGCAGAATTCCTGCTGTGCGCCAGCAGGGGTGTGAATATGCAGACAGCGCCAGTGTGCACATTCAGAGGCCGCAGGAGGGGGCCAAAGGCCTGATTCCCAGGGTGGTGCTGAGCCCCGCCCCTGCTCTGCTGCATTTCCCTGACCTTTCGGAGGGGCGGGTCTGTTGCCCTCCGTGTGTTCTTGGCTGTGTTGACTTAGTGACTTGAACGCTGGTTCCCTGGGCTCTAGTGGTTCTAGTGAGCCCCTCCTTAGGGTGGACTTTCTCTTTCTAACCACTGCGGAGTCCTCTCAGCCCTCAGGTCCCTAGAAGCCCACATGGGGGGTGGCCGGGAGCCGTCTCAGCCTTGCCTGCAGGATGCCAGTCTGCTGAGACTTAGGGAGCAGCTTGCAAAGGAGGAGAGCCAGGACTAGGGCTTCCTGTCCTGTCTTGGAAAGAGCCTGTCAGAGCCTGAGGTGACAGCCCCGTGGGCCAAGCCACAGCTTGTCTGCCTCTGCCTGCTGGCTCGGCCCCGCCCCCGGGGCCAAGGGGTACACAGAAAGAATTCAAGAAGACATCCGGCTTCACACATGGAAGTGACCCCTGGGGCCTTGACCCTGCTGGGCGGGGCCTCCTTCAGCAGCCTCAGTGCACCCCCGGTTCCGCCTTCTCCAGCCATATACCTACCCGGTCCCTGCAGCCCCGCCCCGGCCCCCTGGCCTGTGCGGCCAGGTGAGAGAGTCCTGCCTGTACCCCTGACCCGAGTGCCATGGCTTTTCCCCAGCCAGTTTCTGAGGTCGTGTCCCTGTGGCCACCTCCTGTAGTGACTCGGTTGGTTCTGGGAGCCTCGGGTGCTAGCAGATGCCCTTGTGGAGGAAGAGGACTGTGAGCCTGGGCTCCAGTCACCAGTGGGCAGGTCTCGGGCCTGCCATGGTCACTGGCAGTCTTGACAGTCTTAGGGGTTTTGGGCGGAGCGGTGCTGTTCAGGCAGATTTCTTGGTTGGGCTCTTACCCCAGTCATGAGCTTCCCATGGGGAGTGCCTTGTAGCTAAAGCTTTAGGAGTTTAAGCTCCAACCAAGGGCTGAGGGCCTGCCGCCTGTGCACTGTGGTGTGGAGGGATGTTTTGTTCTGTTTTAGATTTGTTTATTCATTTGAAAGGCCAAGAGACAGATATTCTATCAGCTGGTTCACTCCCCCAGTGGCCGCAATGGCCAGGCCTAGGCCAGGCTGAATCCTGGAGCCTGAAACTCCATCTGGGGTCTCCCATGTGGGCAGAGGGGCCCAAGCACTTGGGCCATCCTCTGCTGCCTTCTCAGGCCATTAGCAGGAAGCTGGATCAGAAGCGGAGCAGCTGGGACTTGAACCCAAGTTCATGTGGGTACCAGTGTCACACATGGTGGCTTAAAGCCTGTGCCGCAACACTGGCCCCTGATAGAGGTTTTGATGAAGCTGCCGGTCGGTTTGGGGATGGTGCTGGTCTCTGCAGCGCCGGCTTTGCTGATAGAGGTGGGTTAATATCCCGAGTGGCAGAGGGGTCAAGTTCAGCTCAGCCCCTGTCAGATTCAGCACCTCCGAGCGGGTGACTCACCGTGCCCTCGCGGGCTTGGCTGTCCATTTCTCCCTGTGGAGTTGCTATTCAGATGCCAGGCGTGCAGTGTGGGGGCCACCTCTCCTCTTCCTTCGCAGGACT